CGTCCGTCGTACGTTTCTTAATATCTGCATACAAGTGTCATAAGACTCATATTACGACGGGTGTGCGAGTATTTCCCCTGCTGGGAATGGGACTGGGGCAGGGTGCCTATAAATAGAGTTCTGCAATCAGTCATGACACCTTCGTCATCGTTTCGGGTTCCATTCCCTTCGGTTTGGATTGGTTTCGGGTTCGGCGTTGGCCTGTGTTTTGGCTTTGGTTGGACCACTGTCAACAATTAGTCGGCACAATTGGGCGGCCTCTCAGTCATTGACGTGGGCCAGTTGTAAATTGTAGATTAATTCTGGATAATTATTTATCCAAGTCGAGTAAAGTTTCACAGATTTTGGTTATTTTTCCCTTTCCGTGACGACAATTGAGAAATTTCAGCGAAAGCAAACCCTGCTCATAGCTGGAAATGAATGAATGAGGAGATCGATGAATCAATGAATGAACAACAAGAGGCTGGCGGCTAAGCTTAGACGGCAACTTTGGGACGATGAGTGAGCTTGAGTGAGTCGCTTTTTTTTACCCTGAACTGGCTCGAATTGAGCTTTTTCGCTGACTTAAGATGAGTCGGCGATCTCGCTTTCTTTGTGGCAGTCTGCCCAACGCTCCCAGAGACAAAGTTCAGTAGGCAAAGGTTCTACTCCCGCTGTCTGTCATAAAATCTTATTGGAGCTTCCAGAGCGAACTGCGCGTATCTGGTTCTCTGCAGATTATTCCGTCTTGCACAGCCTCCTCCAAATTAGCACTTTGAACCGTGGCCCAGCAACCGAGCCAATCTCACATGGATCTGCCTCCCGTTCCGCCCAGCCCTTGGGAGCTGGGAGTTCTCTGATAACGGGGCCCCCATAGGGCGCGATATATCCCGAGAAATTATTATTCACAAGCTTATCGCTGGAAGTATTTCCCATGCCTTTGGAACACTAGATATTTCATACCATACCATAACGTTAAGCCATACACAATAAGTGAGAAAATTCCTTCGGTCTTGATTTCTCTAGCAGGGAATTCTTGGAAAGTACTCTTATTTTGGGGCTTACATCAGAACAGTCACATGGTTGAAGATCCAACTGAAGTTTGTACATTTCTATTTCCCTTACCCCTCTATCGTTACATAAATACATATGTACATATGTATGTATAATTTATGTTTAACTTCCTTGCGGGTAGAGCTTCAATTCAGATATCGATTTTCATTCCGATTTAAAATTTGTATGGTCTTCGCTTAAGGTTGTTGTTGACTTATCAAAAGTGTAAATAAGATATGCCGCTTTATTTTATTTTGTTTGTGCATGAAATTAGCCGCTTTGAAATGAGCCCCATAAGCAGTCGCAGCCTCAGTGCCATCTTCAGTCCCCCGGCTGTCAGTCCGGGAGCTCTAATAAAACGTGAGGAGCGATCGCTTCATCAAGGCCGGATTGGATGAACAAATATACATATGCATGTATGCACATATGAGTACTCACATATGAATACTCGTATAGAATAACGGATGTGTACGGGACGACGGATGTGTTTATATGTACAACCATATAAACAATCGCCGAAATCGCGCGCACGCCTTCAATTTTCTCTTAATCTTCGTGTGGTGTGGTTATGGCTCGGACTGTGGCCTTTTTTTCGCAGATCTTTGGCCCGTGTATCGGTGTCGTGCTGTTGTTGTTTGCCAATGCAAATCGGAAGTTAATGAGGCGTGCCGAATCGTTGTCTAATACTTACGAGATGTGCGATGTGTGAGGATGAAAAGTTTTCTGCACAAAGAGTTGTGGGAAATACAGGTGTAGAAAAGCAAGTAAAATCCATGAAACGGAAATCCATGAGGTGGGGCGAACTATTAGAGCACCCCTCGCCCGTTCAGTCGAAGCTTTCGCACGATTCATCTCATGCCACTCATATGATCAGCAGCGCGCGTGAACTTGTGACGATCTGTTTGCACCTACGCACGGGAATTGCCGCTGGTCACTGCCTCGAGCCCGGGGAAATGGCCGCTCTCACGTGACCATTTCTTCTCCCCCTCCCCCACTCATTCCAATGGCCTAAATGGTTTCTCAATGCCCCTGGCAACTGTTGATGATGATGGTGCGAGCTTACCTGGTGACTACTAGCGTTGAGCCGTGGCAGAAACTTGTAGGTTCCACTGTGGAGAGCCCACTTGCGTTGCTGCGAGATATCGATGGCCTTAGTGGTGGCCGTGTCCTTGTTCTCTGCCCGCAGGCTTCGCAGCTCGCTCCTGGTGTGGTTCTGCAGAGCGTGGATAACCTTAAAGAGAGCAAGGATACCATAATTAGTTTGAGAAGCGAGCTTAATACTTCTGTGTCAAATTAAGAGTAAAACGAGGGGGAACGTTGTGAGCGTTGTGACCCGATACCTAGTCTGTATGTCTCTCCTCCGTCAGACGGCACTAGACCAGACGGACCATATCTACCAGATTGCCGAATCAGATCGGATCATTATTATAACCAAAAGGAACAAATCAATTGGCCGTGACTACACAAGTATGAATCGTCTGGGTATGATCGGAATTTATATAATGGAACAAAATACTACATGCTATATTGTGCTCGTATGCTCGTATACATATGTAAGTATACATATACATACATATATACATATGCATATACATATATAATTAAGTGGACTCGGATCACTAATTTTTATAATATGACTAAATTGCTTTCTGGATATTCATAATCGTTCCAATACATTTTTCACAAAATCTACTGAAAATTTGTCCATTCAATATGCAGGAATATTCTGATCTCCAACTCACCAACTGCCTCTTTTTGCAGCGTTTGGCCGGACGGACCCAGTCCTCAGGTCCCGTCCAGTTGCCCCCGCACGTGTTTTCCCAGTCCACACGGGTGATGCTGCCGTTGAGCTCCCTCTGGAAGCGCTGCCGAAAATTGCCAAGATTGTGCCGCTTTTGGAGGCGCTTAAGCAAGTCTGGTGGTGGGGCAAGGTATGTGGCATTGAGCAATGGCGAAGGGGTTGGGGCGGCTTCGATGCCACCGCTGCCGGGGTGGGCGAACTGCTGCAACTGGTACATGAGCACGGCGAGTGTCAGCAGCGAGCCGATTCTATGGAGACGACTTCTGCTCTCCCCGAGCGTTGCTTCTCTTTCACGCGTGTTGGCCGTTTTGCTCTTTCGGCTGTCGCTGCTGCTGCTGAGGTCGATTGGGCAAGCAGCTGTCGTCTGTGGGTGTTGGAAGAGTGGTGCGGTGAGAAAAGGGAGAGATAAGAGCGAGAGGGGGAGAGAGGAAAAGAGAGTTAGCCATGATTGTCAGAGTTTGGGAATCCCTGGTAGACACAATCGAAATTTTTTAGTGACCCGAAGCGTGCTTGCCTTTGTGAATAATACTGTTGGTGTTAGCTATTGCTATTGGCGTTTTTGTTGCTGTCTTTATCTGGCTGACATAATTATTTAAAATTAAAAACAATTTCTGGCTGAATCATTGCCTGTGGTGGGGTAGGCCCAGTCGGCATATACATATATGTACACTCCGATACGCACACTCATAAAGACACCGCAGTGCCTGTATCTACACTACGCTACATGGTCAACGAACTTGGTTTCATTTTTTGTCTTTCGATTTGCAAACATTTGTGAAATTCGCTCACCCTCTCGTTCGGTGCTTTTGCTTGTGGCTGTCCCTTTCCCTATCCAAGCCTAATCGTTGTCGTTTGATACTGACGCATCGCCCCCCAACCATCAACCCCCATTCATCAAGCCAAATCCACAGTCCACACTGCCTATCCCCTCCCGAACGTTTAAATGAATTTCACACAAAACGGTTATAATTAAACCAAGCACAGCGATCGATCTATGGTAGCAGCAACATTTGATAAGTATTTTTAGTCATTCATCCATACACTTGAACATAGGCATGTACATTCATATGCACATACATATGCATAATGAAATCTGTCTTGAGCGGACTCCCTGACAAGGAGATATTCGTTGACCCTTTCGCGACTCCCCTCACGACTTCCGCCATTTCATCACGTAGTCGTTGTATTACAGCACAGCACTCGGAAGGCCTTTTATTTGTGTGCAGCATGCATCTATATTCACCGGCTCGTACACTAACACTCCCACCCCCACCCGCACCTGCACCACTTATCAGAAGGCAAAGCACGCACCTCAAGTTCCGCTCTCTCTGACCTGTACGATTATATCTTTATTTTCCTTTTGCACCTTCTGCAAGTTCTTCCGCAAATCCGAGGACGAAGAGGTATAGAAGTTGCAAAGCTGAATGTTGTGCTTCGAGTACTCACCATTTACACATATATATGTATGTGAAGGAGATTCTGCAGAAATGTCCCTAGCAGAATTTTGTCACTTTTCGGTGGTTTTGGGGAAAGTTCGAGAATGCAACGCAAAACTGAGTCAACACAAAGCAATATAAACCACAAAAAAAAAAAAAAAAATGGATAGTATTTATAGTAATTCGAGAGGTGAGGCGGGTAACTGGTAACTGGGAACGCGGCACGCAGAACCTAATTTTTGATCTGTATCTGTATCTGCGAGATACTCTTCAAGTGGATGGGCCACCAAGTTTCGACGCGCTGCCTTTGACTGCCTGCTTTGATTTGATTTGATTCCCCGGCGATCCGATCGAACTGCCCGATGGCTCGATGTCGAAGTTGATGGCTCGATGCCGATGCCAATACCGATGCCGAGAGTGGCTTTCTCGTCGTCGGCGTTGTGTTTTCGCCTGAGACCGAGACGGACGGGGGGACGTGTTTCGAACTGAACTCTTCAGTTACTATGAGCATACTAATGAGGAGGCGGAGAGTGGCCCCACCGCTCTGGCTGGCTCCAGAACTCAGTCCGAGTCGCTCTCTCTCACTCTCTCTCTCTCTTTCTCTCTCTCCGTGCTCCTCTCTGTGAGAGTGAGACAGCGTTAGCTATGAGTGTGCAGTCTCTGCGAAAATAAAAAGCGCTCAAAAGCCACTTATGAGTGGGGGAGTTTTGGTCAATTTCAACATGAAGGGTAATTGGTGCTTCTCTCTCTAGCTCTCGCTGCATTGTTCTCCCGCTATCATATATGCACGATTACAGATACATACATATACTTACATTTGTACGTACGAATATGATCGATCACCGGTTGTGTTTTGGATCAGCTGTTGATAAGACCCCTCTCCACAGCTGTCTGCCTACTCGGAGAGCGTCGTTCCGCTCTCTGCTACTCGCTCGCAACTAACGTCTCTCACTCGTAGATAAACAAAATTATTGCCGGCTGTATGACTTTCACTCGTGGCCAGAGGAAGCAATACTCGTGCATTCTCAGTTCGTCCCACTTCCGAAGTTTTTGCACCCCTACAAACACACAAAACAAGCGAATATACACATACGCACTCGGCTCTCATGTATTTCAGTTATTTCCGTTCAGTTATTTCACAAGAATTATTACTCATACGCGACGTCTGCTTCAGTGACGACACAACTCGTAGACAAGCTCGTTCTCACGCTCCGATACAATCGACTTGGATTCATTCATGAATAGTTTTACGCTGCCTCTGCCTTTGTCCTTACCTTTGCCTCAGAATGCGGATGCTCGCCCGAGCAGCACGAGCAAAACGGAGGGATTGGGGAGGGGAGTCTGCATTTTGCGGTTGGTCTAAATTTTACCGCGCGCCAAAAACATGATCAATCGAATAGTTATTGAGCTCTCATCGTTACTCATGGGCTATGAGACAGTGACGGCGAAGGTGCTAGTGACGGAGACGGAGACATCGTCGCTCCCCCATACTCGGCTCATGGCAAATGTGTGGGGACGACGGACAGCCGATCAGTGGGATGGACGGATAGCCAAACTGACATGATTGGGCCAATCTATTTATAAAATATTGTGTCGATCACTTGGCCTGGCACTGATTGTCTTTTCTGTAGATCTTCCGCTTATCGTGTTGATCTGTCCAATTGGCGAGTTCCGTCCGGACTCCGCTGGTGGGGTGCAGTGTTATTTACTTTAAAAGGTTTTGTGCCAGGCGTCTTTGTTGGTCGCTTTTATTATCGTAATCGTTATCGTTGTTGTTGATGCCGGCTGTGTAAGGTTAGTGTAAGGCCCTAATGCCTAATGCATGAAGGTGGCGGATGAGTAATATTTTGACAGAGTTATACCGATCATATGGGGGTGAATTCAAATGTCAATGACAATGATGCACGGGCTTTCCGCATGGAAAGCAACCAATTGAAGGAAGCGTTGATGGAGTCCACCATTGAAATGGAGGTAAGGAGTTTACACGGAGGAGTTTAAAGGAGTTTACATGATGCTAAAAACGAATCATAGGGTTCTTAAAATGGCAATTAAAAGAGATGTGAGCATTACGGAGTTATATTTGAATTTGACAGTTGTGCTGACAGTTGAAGCGGAGTTTCTATTCGCTTAAAACATTAATTAAAGAAAGTTGGTTCAGCTAATGGAATTAAGTATACCGTGACTTCGGTTCAAGGTTACACAGGTATTCCCTGTGATCCCCCAGGCAAAAAGATATGCGACGGCGGAAATAAAAGTCATTTTACCTATATTTCCACTGGAACTCGGTTCTAAACGGTTTCAGCTGATCAGAAGGGGCAAAAAACTTGTCTGAAACAGTTTCTGTAGGAGCTTGGAGTGTGAACGTCATTTCCCTTTACGTAAGAAGTTTAACCTAGTGGACCTACTATCCGCTGATAAGGCCTAGACCTCCCCCGGTTGGCGGAAGGGAGCTTTGAACCCGCCGCGCGCTGCCAGCTCAGCGAATGAGCTGGAGTCCAGGGATCGAGTTTTCGTGACGTCAGTCTTCGGCCTGTAACCGCATAATGCTAATTTATTGTCCAATCGATTTGAAACAGCAACTAAAAAGCTCACCGCCTCTGTCTCTGTATCTGGCTCTACCTCTACCCACGGCAAGCGTTGAAAGTGAGTCATAAAAGGCAGCACGAAAATACCACATTTTTTACGCCCAATGAAATTTGTTGCGGTGTCAGTGCGATGTTTGACTTTAGCCTTTTTTTACTCATCATCATGCATTGGGAGGGAGTCTCTCTGCTGACGCTGCTTTTGCCTCCGTTTCTGATCTTCCGCTGTCATAGAGTTCATTCCCAGCCACGGACCGCTTTACGGATGAGCAATTTGCCATTTACCAATTGTAGCGCCAGATTAATAGCTCACCAATATTGATTTTGTCTGGCTGCCGGACTGCCCGCCAGTCAAGCGACTGTTGTGGGGCTGTAATGCCTGATAATTTGGAGGGGAACGCGCCGGACAGCGCGGAAAGGAGTGACTGAAATACGGAGGACTTCGCGGCGGTTTTTATGTTTGCCGACCGAACGAAGTTTAAAAGTTTCACACATAACAAAGTGCGAAGGATGCAGCGGATCAGAGCCCCGAAAGAGCCAAACTTAATTAGCGCCCATTGCAAAAATATTTACGGCCAAACAAAATAACACCCATTAAGAGGAGACAGAGGAGAGCGCAAACGCGTGATGATCACTGGGTAACGCCCCTCGACAAAAAAGCCCCGAAAACGGAGAAGACGAATGCATGTGGAGCAAGCATCAAAGGAACAGCCACAAAAGGAAGCTGGAGTTGCAGCTGTAGTTTGAGTTGCCATGGGAGGTGCAAACGCTTCAACTTCAGCTCGATTCGATTCGATCCTCGGCCCTCCCAGCACAACACAGCCCATCCCATACCAGGCTATACCATCGCCATGCTCACGTTCTTGGCCATGGCCCGTCATTATAAGCCGTCACCTTGTTGTGTAGACATTGGCCATGGCCACCGCAAACACAGAGACGCAGACTCAGACAATCATTGGAGTGGAGGATGGATAGGGGTATACGATGCACACAACAAACTGCTAATCCGGTTCGCGCTTGAGGCCCGGCCTGGCAATCGCTGGAGTGAAATCAACTCGTTAACTCGTTACCAAAACTGATCCCATTTAGCGGCGCATCGTGATCCGGCGCCAGTCGCACAGCCCCGAGGAATGCCCTACACCGGCCGAGCAGGGGAGACTTTTCAAGTATTTTAATAAGTATTTATTCCCAATTCCCTCTCCGTTGGTATCTTTTGTACATACTTTGGGAGTAGCGGATTCGCTAGGCGCCTCAACCGGAATGGAGATTCAACGGGGGGTTTTGAGTAGAGGAGCAGGGTCTGAAGCTGGACCCGGGGAGGAGCAACAGCAGAGTTGGGCTTTGGTTCATTCGCGTCATCAGCATCATCATCGCCAACACCTTCATCATTATCGGCGGTGTCGGCGTCTGTGGCGTCCACAGCCCCATCCTCGGACCCAGCATCGCCCCGAGGCGGCGGCGGCGGCAGTAGAAGTAGAAGACCGCCACCGCCTAACGCATTGGAAAGGAGCTAAAGGTGGGGATGGAACTGCATTTGAAGAAGCGGGAACTGAACCTCGAGCTGGAGCTACAGATGGAAGGTGGTTATGATGATATACTTTGGCTGTTTGGTTTTGCTGCTGAAAAGGGGCTTCCGCTGAAGAAACCTTTTCGAACTTTACAATTGTGGAGCTGTGAAGCAATATTGTTGCATTGTTATACCGAAGGGGCCGCGCCAGCACCAGCAGAAGCAAAAGGATATCAGACTCTACCTCTTTCGGCGTCATCCATGTTATTAACTTATTTTCAACCAATAAAACGGCAATGAAGCGCGAACGAGTCGCTGCCCCTGCCGATACCGACGTCGATGATGAGGAGGAACCACCGCCATCAACTTGCCAGTTCCCACAGTTATTACTTTTCATAGGCTCAGGGGGAAGGAAGTCCCAAGAGCTCAGTGTTAGCTTCAGAACCTGCACCAGAGCTCAACTATTTGGTGTGGAAGTAATGCGATGCCGGAGCTGATGTCGGGAGTCGGAGTTGAATACAGAGACAGAGGCGATGGCGCCTACATTTGATTGGACTTGACCGCAGAAAGTGTCGAATGACATCCATTTCTGAGGTGTTCAGCAAAAGTAGTGGGCTGGGGCAGGGGCTCAGGATGATGACGGGTAGGGCCACTCTGAATGGAACACAAGGAAGCACTCTAAGTGTTGATGGCCCCCGTGCCGCTTCTTATTAATGTGTAACCATTAATTGTGCCCAGCAATGGCGTTGCCACTGCTTCTGCCACTTGCAGCTGCACTTTGGGGCAGAGAAAGTGACCGAGCTACCACCACAGAGAGGCAGAACGAGAAAGAGACCACACAATGTGAGACGACATTAACTGCAGCAGAAAGAACAAAACAGAAAAAACATGGACAGCAAACCCCAAGCCAGATGATAATTATGTAGAATGATAGTTCCTTTCTCGCCCGATCTTCCCAGATACGATGTGTTTTCCTTGTGAAGTGTACAATTTCACAACATTTAATTCAGAATTTGACGGGTGGCCAAACGGCGGCGCAGAGGGATCGGATCAGGCGAAGGGGAAGGCGAAGGCGAACAGGTTCCTCCAAGGCTCGACAATTGAGCGACAGGTACACACACTCGTACTACTTTTGTGCATCTGTGTGCAAACATATACAAGTTTCTTACAAGACCTCCCGCGCATGTAAAACATGCCGATTCATAATTCTGCATTTTGCTACTTAAAGAGTGAAGAGGCGGAGTAGAGGAGATCTGCTGGACAGAGAGAGAGGATGCCTCACACAGAGGTTGAATGACAAACCGGGCCCGGGACCGGCACCAGCACCGGCAGAAACATCACTGTAGGACGGGGACAAAAAAGAGGCTCAGAAACCAGAGTCTTGACCAAGGCTATCGATAAATGCGGACCACCCGACTGATCATAGGTCTGTAGCCCCTTGTCATGTAGTGACGGACTGCACCCGAAATGCGAAAAAAATTAGAAAAGTATTGGGACTGAGTGATCCTTATGAGCTTGTGTGGGAACTTTCGCTGTGATTCTAGAGATGTTAGCCATGCTCTGTACCGCTCTATACACACACACTCAGAGATAGGTACGCACAAATACAGATGCATCTACATGTACAGATACAGCTACACACACGCTCTGAGATGCGAAGACACATGAAGCAGCAGTCAAAGCAGAAATACGATAATTGAGTGCTCATTTGTCTTACACGCAGGGAACAGAAAAACCGGGGGAGTGGAGAAGTGGAGAAGTACATGAGTGCAGGCGGAAGACTGGCAGGTATTGTATCTGAAGCTATGTCCATGCATCTGTATCTGTATCATGCTAAGCTGCTCACTGTACTCGTTTTAATACCCACATTGAAGTCTTTATGACAGCGCCTTCGACTGTCTTGGGGACTGAGATCGGAATCGGGATAGGGAACTGTTTAAGAAACTTCCCTCAAGACTTCCCATGGCTATCCTGCATAACTATATCGAATATCCTGACAATTGGTTCGAGCATTGATTCACCCCCCCTCTACCTTATTTATGGAACGAAAGAACGGCACTCGCAGATGCATTCCAACAAAACACGAGTATGTATCTGTATATGCGTTTCCTTCGGCGCTGTCTGATTTCTCGTAATTATACTCATGTCAGCTGTGTGGGCCATGTATCTCTCCACCTCCATCTGCATCTACAGCAGTATCTATTTCTGCATCTGTATCTGAATCTCTGCGGCTGCCTCTGCGTCCGAGTTTGATTGGATTTGATTTTCCTCAATCGCAATTGTTTTGTAATGGAACGGCGACTGAAGCTGGAGCTGGGGCTGTGGCTGTGGCTGGGGCAGCCGGCTGCCTGCCATGTCTCATGTCGAACGAGCTGGAAATTGATAACCAAGATTGATACTAAGAGCAGCAATGCAACGTCAACTGCAGCTCCCGCCTCTGGCACTGGCACTCCGGCGGCAGCACCTCACTTGCAGCTCATTCGATGGCAAATTAATATAATTATCATTGCACGAACCGGAATTACACCGACCAGGCCGGGGCCGCACCATCACAATTGTATGACTACAACTGCAACAACGAATCCGACACTCAATACAAGTCCATGTCGAAGCCTGCAAACAAATAAACAATCAAAGAAACGGCTCAACCCATAATTAACGCCACAAACGCAAATATTAAGCCAGCATCGATAGCAGCAATCTGCTACAGCTGTCGGAATCTGTTTCTGCATCTGCATCTCTATAACCACAGCATACCCTGGACGGGGGTATTACGACTTTCTCCAAGAACGTGTCCCACACAGAGGCAATCACTTTCTGTCTTTAACAGTTGCATTAGTATATTTACGTGAAAATCCAACCAAACTAATCCTTATTCACAGTATTTATCCTTTGAAATAAATAAGTATATAAAGAGTTATAAAACGCTTTATTTATTGCTTTGGAAATTTCCGTACGAGTAACTCCGCAAACTTTCCACAAGATATCCACTGATACCCTGCAGGGTATTCGAGTCTTCGTCCTCCCTCTTTTGTTCAAGAACGCATTGAACAAGAAATACACACTAGGAACTGAGACTGGGGTGGGCCTGGATTGGCCTGGCCCGGCGCTAGCCCCCAACTCAAACGGATTGCTTGTCAGGGGGCGTGGCAGGGGATCTCAGATAGGGATTGGATGGGTCGATGTCCATAACCACGTCGAATCCATCAAGGTTGACTCCGATCAGAGCTGCTTAGATAATGGCCAGAGGCCAATGGCATGTCACTCTCAATTTCAGTCGCAGGTTCCGATTCAGATTCAGCCAGCATCTGCATTTCAATCACTTTTTGATGGACATGGACACTATGGATCGAATGCTGCTGCTGCAATTGTGATAGCGCCTTGATTGAGTTGCCAAACTGTGGCGAAGTTTTCCGTTTGTTAGCAAAGGCAATTAAGTGTAATTAGCCGGCGAGAAAGAACAGTTCAATTAAAGCGGTGGCCTAGAGTGTGGTGGAACGGTAGAGGGGCGAACACCTGATACCCTCGGCGTTCTGCTAGTTAAGCCCCGTTCCGGGTCGGAGGCGACGGCGGCTTTACCTAGTTGTACTTAAGAATTGGCACTCTGCAGGATAATAGGCAGGAGGTATGTGCATCTGGGTACAAATGCCAAATTGCAACTGGGATTGGGAGTGGGAACTGGACCTGGACTCAGAAAAGTGCAACTGAAGCTTCTTGGCGGTAAAGTCGTGACTTACCCTCGCCGCGATCCGATAAACCACGCTGTGAAGAGGAAAGAAGGCGCAAAGCGCAGCAGAGAAAAATGTACCCACCAGCAGGATATATTTAAGACCACAAAAGACCTCAAATGTGTTGGGGCGAATGCAGACGACGACGACGGCGGCGGCGATGATGATGATGATGCACAAAAAAACCTTTGGGCAGGCTGATGTTCAGGCCGAAGATGAGGTTGAAGCCTGGGTTAAATCTCAGACTGAGACTGAGGTAGCCTTGCAGTTGATTAAGCGGAGGCAACAAATTTGCATATTTCATTGAGCAGTTCAATCAAATGGAGGACAGCAGAGGCTGAAACAAAACGTGGCCAGAGACACCGACGGAGTCCAACTTGGAGACGGAGTCAGAGTCAGAGGCAAAGCTGGAGTCACAGCCAGAGACCTGGCCAAAACGAAGAAGAAGGCATTTTTGTCGTTGGCCAAGATGCAAACGGTGCGATTAAGTCCGAAATAACTCATTCATACGCAGAGGTCCAGAAGAAGTTGGCAGCCAGGACTTATCCCTGCCCCTCTCTCGAGCAAGCTCTCTCTCTTTCTCTCTCTTTGACTGCGTAATCTGTGGAATGCCATCGGATGAGCCAGAGAGCAGAAACACAGAACAATGGCATCATGGCCATTCTCAAATGCTGCCAGACTACTGCTAGAGGAGGTGGTGATGGTGGAGGAGCGTCCAAGATGGCGCGAGATCAACCATCAGCCTGCCAAGATGGCGATGTCTCGGTCTTGGTCTCGGTTTCGGCCGCAGTCGGAGTCTTCTTAGGGGCTTATTTGCATAACAGCCCACACTATCTCCATCTCCTTCCCACACTCCCTAGTTCGCAGTGTATCTTGCTCCCCTCTCTCTCTTCCTCTTACTCTTTCTCTGTCTCTCTCTCTTCCTCTTACTCTTTCTCTGTCTCTCTCTCTCTCTCTCTCTCTCTCTCTCTCTCTCTCTCTCTCTCTCTCTCTCTCTCTGTCTCTATATCTCTGTCGCTGCTTCCGTCTCTGTCTTTGGCTGTGGGTCGATGAAGCGTGCTTAATGCGGGCGGACACTAAGCCACGTGTGAAATTCAATCGGCAACTCAGGTTGAGAGTCCATTTCGCGGGGGAACAGCAGGCGCAGGAGCAGGAGCAGAAGAAGGAGTATCACCTTGTCTCACTCTCACTCATCACCTCTTCGCAGCGACAGAGAAAGTGTCTCGAATATCGTCATCGTCATCGACATCATTCCCTGGACACCTCGTTAGGGGAACAAAAGGGAGAGGATAGAGACAGGAGCCTCGGATCGGTGTGAGGTCCACCGATTCCGATTCAGGCTCGCTTCGGTTGTGGTTTCAGTTTCGGTGTCGGTTTCGGTTTTCATATTTTGAGGTTCGCCGAAGTGTTAACAGGCGGTGGCTGTCTCTTATTAGACGGCCCTTGGTCGAACTGACCACTAACCACTAACCGGCAACCACTTACCGACCAATGACCAATGTCAAGGCCCCACCATTCCACCCCTCAGGCACTGA